TATATATATATGGTTTGCACACAATTAGCTCTAAATCACACATACATGAATCACTCTGCACCAGATTGTGTTTGCATCATCAGGGAAACCTGCTCAACACTTTTATGTGGTAGTTTGACAAGATCACTTTAGTCCCCTGTCCATCTGTTCACCTTATGAGATTATTTAAATAATGAAGGTCTGTGACGATTCCAACAAAACTGCTATTAGTTGGTCACTACTGAACGGCAACAGGAGACATCAGCGACCTTTGGCGTCAAGTTCTCTCTTGTTAAAATAATGCCTACTTTTGCATATATTGGTAGTAGTTTATACTTATTTAAAAACATAACTGCATTAATTTTAGTTGTACCGGCATTTAATAAACGTAGTGAGAAAGGTGATTAACTGTGGTCAGGTCTTACTGAGATAGTCCGGTACATTCTTCAGATGAGGCTTGACGACAGCAGGATGAAGGTCTTTGTCGTGTCGGAGCAGCTGGAAATCTCTGGGGTTGTCTTCAAAATACGTCTGCGTGACAACAGAACCCTTCAGTCCCAACACGTTCCAACAGTTTTAAGTCTGAATGGTTCTGACCGAGCAGGTCTCACCTTCAGTTTCTCTGAGTTCAGCAGTTCTTGTTTGATCTCTTTCAGTCTGGCCTCCTTCACAGCCTGCTTCGTCACGGCTCGCATCGCATCCTGCACCCAGAACCAGAACCACATCAGTAAGAAGGTTCAACTGCAAACAGACTCATCAAACCATAAACTGTGAGTAAAACTGAGACCAAATTAGCGTAAGCTAATTTTAAAGCACAAGTCCAATTTGACACTTACTAGCTGGCAATAAATTATGTACAATGTATGCACAATACTGCCAACTAGCGGTGTGTGAACCCTTGTACAGCTTAATCCTACAACTGCCGGTTGCTGGCGATGTGATTTCCTGAAACCTTTAGCTCCTGGTGTAAAAATTAAAAGTTGTTGAGGATTGCTAGTTCGGCTGCTTCTTTGTCTTTTTCTTTTGTTTGTTTTAGATTTTTCATTAAAGAAGCATCAATAAAGTCATTTTAAAACTGTTTATTGGAAAACTGAAGCGATGCATTCTGGGTACAGACAGATTTGATTTGTGACGGGAAACGAAAGCACGCAGTACAGGAAACTATCATCCCTTCAAAATAAGAGCTTGGATTTTAAAGTTTTCCATGTAGCCGCTCCAGTTGACCACTAGATGTCAGTCTTCATCAGCATAACATCTTTAAATCATTTCTGAATCTCTAACCCCACTGCTTCGACCAATTACGTCAAGTATTGAGCTCAAGCGTTTAAACTTTTTTTTTTAAAAAGGAGCTCCGATTGTAAAGTAAAATAAATCAATACATACACAATTTTAGTATGGATTACCAACGTTTACTGTTTTTACTGGGACAGGGAGTTCTAAACATTGCCTTCCTGCTACGTAAGCAGACACAAAGCATTGTGGGAAATGAGAACCCTGACCCAAAGCAACAATCAGCAAGGATGTATACCTTCTCAATGAGTGTGTTTATCTGGGAGGGGTGCTGTTGGATAGATCATGTGTGTTGAGATTCATTGACAACCATACCTTCCACTGTTCAAGATAATGATGACTGGTAGATAATTAATTAGCGGTACAGCATTTTAAGTTTAGAAAGCGCAAATCCGCTTATGAATTATAAAAATTAGTAAGACCGCTAAAGCGCAAATAAAATATTTAAGTCCACAATTAGCGGATTTGCACTTTAGCGAGCTGACGCCGACCACTGCTTTTGGTTAGCATTTTGCTACTTTTAGATTTTCGCTAGCCTTTTGAGACATTTAGTTTCCAGCTAATCTTTGCTACTTTAGGCTAGCTTTTAGCTATTTTTCACATTTAGCTAGGCTTTTTAGACTTTTAGGTTTTAGCTACTCTGTGCTACTTCTAGCTTTCCATTAGCATCTTGCTACGGTTAGCCAGCCTTTTCTTTTTGCCTAGTCTTTTACGATTTTTACTTTCTAGCCTGTATTAGCCTTTGGTTAGCATTTTGTTACTTTTAACTTCTAGCTAGTCTTTGATGCATTTAGCCTTTAGTTCTTCTTCATTTAGCTTTGACAAAGAAGTTTCAGCTTCCTCAGTAAGTTTCAGTCATCTGTAAACATTCACTCAGGATTCAAACAGTTTGAGGTTTTAAACAGATACTCACCCTGCACCTGTACCTGAAGCCTTCAATCTCCTCCATTTTAAACTCATAAGGTTTCAGAACAGATTCAACATTATCTAAACACACATACAAAAAAAAATTATTATTAATGCTTATATCTTTATGTATTTGTTGGAGGTGCCAAGACAAAATATCTTCCTTGTAGTTTTTACAATAAAATATTTCTGTACACCTCTAAAATGAAAACCTTTATAAACATCTCAAACACAGTCAACTGTGGTGAATTCTTGTTCAACTCAATAAATAGAAAACTTATTAAAACATCTGTAACGCTAACAAATAACTTCATTAAAACATTTATCAACAGTTTGAAGGAATTTCTCAGTCTCACATGTCCAAGTTTTACATTAAGATCTTGTAGATATTCACACTCGTGTTATTCATGACCCTCTGCTACTACCACCCTAAACTGCAGCTCAGTATCTTTAAAATGACAGGTAGTCACTTTCTGTCTGTCCAATGCTTTACGATGTGTTGGTAACAGACACCAGTAACTACATTATTGCGGGACAGTGAATAGCTACAGGTGTGAGACTACAGGTTACCTCCGCTGAGAGCCTCGTCCACCTCCTGAAACAGATCCAGCTCAGTTTGAGAGATGAAAGACAAGGCGGTTCCTTGGTTGTCTGCTCTCGCTGTTCTACAGACACAAAAACACGCTCCGCTGTTTCAGAAAATATCAGGATGAAACTGAGAGAAGAACCTGAGTGGTACTAACCTTCCGACTCGGTGAATGTAGGAGTCCACGCTCGTAGGGAAATCAAAGTTGATGACGTTGGAAACATTTTGGAAATCAACACCTCGGGAGACGCCGTACTCCGCATCCTGAGCCCTTTAACCAGAACAAGGCAGCAAATCTTTAAAAATCACAGAGTAATGTGACTGTACTGAAAGAAATGCACACCACCTTGCAAGCCAAAAATTTAAACAAAGACTCAGTATGTGATGGACTCTAAACCAGAGATGCTTAACCCATGGGCCGGCCACGAGCGCCACCTTGAGGGCCTCAAAAGAACAACAGTTTTTAACTTTGGGCTGCAGAGGGCCGTGGGACCGCATTGATTTTGATTAAGGTGCAATAAACTTTCTCACCACTAGTAGCAGTAGTGCACCACTCAGTTGTTTAACAACTTTTTTAATATGTAGAAGTAGAAGAACCTTAGAAACCTGCCGAGAATGAAAGCCTATTTTAAATGAAAAGTAGACGCAAAAATGAAAGTAACTCGTCAAAAAACACCAAAGTTTGTCACTAATATGAAGTGCAGCTTCTGTTTTTTTTACCATGCAATATTTTAAAAGTTCAAAACATTATCAAATACAGTTGCAGAAACA